TTTTTAAAAATTGAGGTAAGTCAGTTTACATCACTGCTTGTGATTTAGAGGAATTTAGAGGAATAGGTTCACACACTTCGCCAGGTGTGTTTTACCAAAACACACCACACCCAACATCCAAGCACCCATGACCCTCCACCATAGTCCACTGGGGCCCTCTTTGCGCCTCACCCATCATCCTCCCCTCGTCGCCTCAAGTATACCATGATATTGTTAGCATTTGATTTTGGTTTAGTTTTGTCTGTTCCTTTGTTCTGGTTCTCTGTACTCCACATATAAGTGAAATCAGCTGGTATTTGTCTTCCTCTGTCTGACTTACTTTGCTTAGCATGATTCCCTCCAGTTCCATCCATGTTGTCACAGATGGCATCAGTTCATCTTTTATATAGCTGAATAGTACTCCATTGTGACAGCCAGCACTGTTCAGAGAGGGAGCAGGTTGTTTTGGGAGGTGGTGAGCTCCCCGGGTATAGAAAATTTCAAGAAGAGGTAGAAGTTCTGTTGAGGAGCTTTATGTTTCTGAAAAGCAGTTAGATTAAGTTGTTTCTGCTCCCAGCCTGAACTTTGGTTCAGGAAGTATAAATACTGCATAGGAGACTGGGAGTCCCCGCCATATCCTCCTAGGCAGAACTGATGGTTCTACAGTGCATCTCTCTATATTGTGGAGTTGTGCTGTAACTTCTGTGTTTACGTGGCGATTCTCATTACCGTCCTGAGAACTCTCATAAGCAGGGGCTGGGGCTGAGTCAGCTCTGTGTCTCTGATGCTCAGCACAGAGTCTGATAGAGAGAAGGTGTTCATAGGAAGTTAGCTGGATGAGTGTATGAATGGCTTTTGGAATGAGAGAATGAATGAGGCACTTCATAGGTCCTTTGTATTTTCCTGTGCGAAAGGTCTGGCAGGATAAAGTAAATTTTAACTGACCACTTGGCCTTGGTGACAGCCTCATCTCCAGGAAACAAGGCCCCCAAAGCTGCAGCATGTCACCTTTCCATGTAGCCTATCACAGCCTGCTTTTTGCGAAAAGTAAACCAAGTGAGTGGGTCAGGGGCTGTTATATGCACCTGTCTAAGCCTAAAGAGCCTCGATTAACCTTGCGTATAAATTACACTTCCTGCCCGTTCTTTATTTTTAGCTTGGCAATATCTGCTTGGCTCCTCCAGGGAAGATAGCATTAGATTTCAGTCATGAAACTACAAAAAAAGTGGCATTTCTGGCCCCACGAAAATGACTTTTATTAACCTTGTAACTGTTTCTGGGGGATGCTCCTCAATGCAGGGACTTGGGTTTTCCATCCAGCCCAGAACCTGCCCCAAAGGCAGATGTACCTCTGTTTGCTGTTCACTCTGACTGATTTAGATTTATAGAAACTGTCAATTTCCAGAATTTGTTCTCTTTGGGGTGAAACTCAATTGTTGTTATCGTAAAAGTCTAGATTCAGTGCATCTTTCCTCTCTCTCTCCATTCCTTCTCAGTTACATGGTATCTTGACCCAAATCTTTAGCCCTTGAATTATATAGCTGAGAGCCCTGAAACTCATAGGGCCAGAGCAGGCCATGGATACTGCAAGGCCAGCCAATAGGCATCAGGTCACACAGAATTCTTAGCCATTGAGGCTGCTTCAGAGCAGAAGTGAGTTACCTAGAGTCAGCCTGTTTTGTTTTTCTCAAGTCAGTCATTTTTAACACCATCTTGTTTGTTTTTGAGACTTTTATAAATATCTAGCTCTAAGTCCAGCCAACCAAGCTCCAAAGTATTGATTGAATACTATTGATTGAATCAATAGACATTGGCAAACAGCCATGAACCCCTTCATTTGACACTTAAAAAGGTGAGGTCCAGCTGCTTCCTTATGCCACCGCCTGTGAAATACTGTCTATCCACAAAACCTCTGGCCTCAAACTCCTGTATTCATTCTATGCTCAAATTCCTTCCTTTAATTGCCCCAGAAAATTTTCAACAGATGTCTATAGAAGGTTTGCTGAATGTTTGGAGTATCAAAGGCATTTTATATCTCTTTCGTTTCTATGTCAATGTTGCTTGGCCTCCATACCTCTAGATTCTGCTGGCAACTCAACCCAAGCCATTTGGTTGGCTTCTCAAGACAAACTTTGTTGACACATCCTGATCATCAATCTGGAAGGTCCCTTCTTGGAACTATTTGCAGCTTGGTTTTGTTAGGGGGATAGGATGTCCTAAATGAACTCTGCAGATATAGGTCTTGTGGACTCCAGCCCCTACTTCTGTTATTGAAGCTACAGCTCCAACCCCAACTCCAGTCACTGAAGCTACAACTCTCAGCAATACCAAAGGGAGGACTGTGGAGCTAAGCAGCCATTTTGGGGCTTTTGGGTATATATATATATATGGAAGCCATGTTGAGCTCTCTCTCTCGGCCTCGTGGCTGGTGGCTGGTCGCTTGGCTCTCTTTCAGTGTGCTTTAGAGTTCCAAGTCATAGTAGGATGCTCTAGTTAACTTGTTTCTCTCTTTTTCCCTGGGTATTTCCTTTCTTTTCCCTTTGTAAATAAACCCACTATTGACCTTTTATGTGTGTGCCTGTAGTACAATTGAATTTTAAGCACGCAGATGAGGACCCACAGACAGGCAACCCAGTTCACATTGGGTTACCCTGTTTCATGCGTTCAGTATACATTATTAACCATTTGTATCCTCCCCCAAGATGAACTTAGTGGGGAAAATGAAAAATGTATATTCTAACCCAACAGTGAAAGTTACTAGGCCTTAGAACTATCAATATTTCTTTGATGTGGAGGGCCTATGCACACTATGATGTTTAGCAGCATCCCTGACCTCCACCATGTGGATGTCTGGAGCACCAACTCCACTCATCTTGATTTACGAGCACCTGTAATAGATCAGAAGCTACCAAATACCCTTGGGGGACAAGATCACTTTAGTTTAGAACCACTTTTCTAACATATGGTAGACAGAAGACCTCTGATAAACCAAAATAATGTGCCAACAAATGTTCCAAGAGCCATGTTATTTCCTGGTGGTGAATTTTAAAAGCCTAATAAGGCTGAGCTGAAACTTCAAGAATGGTTAGAATTATGAGATGGGTTTCTTGGAGCGGGGGAAGCCTAATGTACAAATAAGTGGATAAGGAATAGCTCTGTTTGACAAAAGCATAGTGTGAAATAGGCATGTTGGTAAGAGTGGTGGCCTTATAAGTACTGAGAGGCCAGCTGACATAGGGCCTGGCTAGTCTTTATAGGGCCTTCCACTTTTGCTGTGAATGAAATAAGTATAATGGAAACTTTATGTGGAGGGAATGCAATTGGGTGTTTATTATAACTCAGTTGCTCCATAATCTCACCTATCCAGACATAATTTTTCTGACAACCCCCCCCCCAAAAAAAAAAGCATAAAAGGCCTCTTACCGGCATAGTGCATCCCTATAAATCCATGTGGACATCTCAGTGTTTGGTACCCCTCAGAGGAGTTCACGCTGAACTCTTATTTTAGGCTTTGGCCTAGGGGGCTTGATTAGCCAGCTTCAGCAGCAGATTAAAAGATGGAAGAGTAAGGGGCCCTCCCTGGTGGCACAGTGGGTTAAAGCACTGCACTGAGAAGCTAAAGCCACTTCCGCATGAGTTCGATTCCCGCCTGCCCCAGAGGTGACCACATGGCGAGGCAGACCTCTCCTGACCCGCCCGCTGCTCCCCTCAGCAGTGTACTTCGTCGATCTGCCTGTTCTGCTCCTCACTCTGTCTCTAGTGAAGCCTCTCACTGCCCCCGAGCCTCTGACCTGTACCCCAGTTCTGTATGTACAAATAAATAAATCTTTGAAAAAAAAAAAAAGATGGAAGAGTAAGAAGGGAGTGAGGGGACTCACACAGACAGGAGCAGAATCTGCATTGGAGCAAAGCTTTTAGCACCATGGAGAAAAAAAGAATGAGTGAGTGAATGAATGAATGAATTAATGAATTCATATAGAGTAACTCAAAAGCAAGGTAGTCTGGAGTCCTTTAAGCAGGCAAACATCCATCCCTTCATAACAGTCCACACATGGCTGCATAACAGGCCACCACCATGTGCTGACACACTCGGTATTTAACATGGCAGGACGTGTGGAATCGTTGTAGCATCCGGGTGGTGAGCGTTCACGCATTGGTTAGGAACAGGGTCTAGAGTTAGACTTCCCTGCTTGAGTCCATCCTCCAAGGTTTTGCAGTAGTTCACTAGTTTTTTAACGCTGGCAAGTTCTAATATCTCATCTGTGAAATGGGGATTCCCTACTTAAGGAGTCGTTGGGAAAGTTAAACCAAATAACCCCTGAGAGTTCTTCACTGGATTCTTGGCACAGATTTAATTTCCAATCAAAGGTAAAGGTTTTTATTATTGTTTCAATGGAAGAGTACACCTGCTGAGACTTGCCCCACATCATAACTGTAGCTGCTGTTCTGGAATATTCCTAGAGTCTCTGCAAGTACTGAAATAATTGCCCTTTCAGAAAATATATAAGATAGCTCTGAAAAATGAAAGCTCCGCAAGAATAAGCCGGTTGTGTCCTCGCCCCTCTCGTTGGCAGTAGAGGCACATCCATGAGGAGAGATGACAGCCAACTCCCAAGGATTCTGGCCATCAGCCGTGGCTTGAAATTTATTCCCTTTGAGCGAGACTGACCCATTACCCTTTAGCCAACCCAACAAAAAGAGCCAGCTACACCTTCAGATTTTATATCCTCTGTAAAATACCTACCTCCAAGTTGAGAGTGTGTATATTAGTCAATTTGGAGGGAGACACCAAAACACATTGCTAAGTGGTAGCTGTGCCCAGTGGAGGCACCTGTGGTGGTTTTCCTTCGACTCTGGGCACAGCTGAAAACAGGGGACTCTTTGTAATGTGAAATGTTGGCAGGGTACCTAAGCAGAATGTTCAAGACTGCCAGGAAGTCAGCTCACAGGAAGGGGCGACCCTCCTGCCCGGGGATGGCAGGACAATAAAGTGACCTGTCCTCTGTTTGTGTGTTTTCCAGGCTGGAACAGGAAATACAAACACTAGAAAGTGAAGAGTCCCAGATATCTGCCAAAGAGCAAATCATCCTAGAGAAACTGAAGGAGACAGAAAAATCCTTCAAGGACTTTCAGAAGGTGAAGAAAACAAATGGGAATTCTATAAACTATACCATGGGGAAGTCAGATCTAGCAAAATAGTGCCAGCTGGAGAGATCAGTGGCTATTGATGAGCCATCTGGGTCATAGACTCTGAAACAAGGGCTGACACCTTAGGCCACTCACCTAAGGGTGGCCTGGCTTCAGGTGTGGGACCCCCAGGCCTCTCAGGTAGCATAGAGAAGAGTCTTTAATGCATTTACCTACTATCCAAACCTTTTATGTGCTGAGTCCCTGAACTGTCCTCTCCCACTGGACTCTAGAATTCTAAAATGAATTCTTTTTAAACAGATGAGATGTTCCCTGTAATTTTAGACTCTTCTTTTAAAGTCTTTCCTTTATGAAAAGATTAGAGGCAAAAGCATCACAAATAGACATGACTTTCAAAAAATAGTGTAAAAGCATGAAGTTTTGCTATGCAAAAACACATGCAGTGCCACCAGGCAAAGAGGGAAGACTCTAGAAAGCCAGTAGGCTCGGCCTGTCTCAGGCCCTTCCTCCATTTTGTGAATCCTGTTTTCTCAGGCTCCAAACAGCCATAAAAAGTCATTCTTATCAAATTAATGTTAAGATAGGATTTCCTTATATGTCTTCTCCAACACAAGCAAGCACATATGCTGGATAAATGGAAATATGTCTGTGTGGGAAAAATTCAGTATAAGGTGGGAGTGGCAGCGCCTTCCCTCAAAATTTGGAATCTCAATTTTCTAGAAGAAATAAGAGCACTGGGTTTACGTACCAGAGTCAAATTCTGGCCATGAGTATATGTGTGTGTGTTGGGGTGGGGGGGGGGTTCGCCTGAGGGATAGGATGATTGAGGGGTAGTCCCTCCACTGTGTAGTAACCCTCTGTCCTGCTTTTGTTTCCACAGAGCTTCTCCAACACGGATGGAGGTAAGTGAGTGCTCGCTGCCCATCTGCAGATGAATGTTGTCATCCTGGTCAGTTAGTGGGTTGCATTAGGGCTCACTGGGAGACGTGATTTGTTGGTTTGTAAGGGCGTCAGAAAGCAGGGGTTGTTGTTTGCAGGCCACTAAGGAGGCCCGTGACCCTCATCTTCATTGCCTCTCCTGTTCTGGGGCAGTTTGCACAGTTGGCTTGGTGGTTCTCCTTTCCATTCAATCCCAAAGGTTCACTGCTTGGGCCTTTCTTGAAAAATGCTCATCCAAGTACTGACATCAGGACCTGGTAGACACCAGCCCATTTGTGCTGGTTGTGACATCCCCATTTGACAACATACATCTGAAGTCGGTTGTTGAGGAAACCTTTCCGAGGCCTCTGGGTTTTTTTTGAATAAGAAAACAACAGTTTCTCCAACCTCTCAGGGAGATAGGACTGGCCAGTGCTTCCCTCCCTGTGGGACAGAGATGGCCTGAAGCACCCGAAGGGTAAAGCAGGGCCTGGCTCCTGCCCCCACCCTGGCACGAGACCTTCCTCCCTCCCTTTCCTGCCTCTACCCTTTCCTGTCCTTGCCTGGGTCATAGAGGTGAACTTGGGGCTGCGTACTTCTCGCCCTTTGCCTTACATCCCTAACCCTAGCTGCAAACTCATGAAAACCATGTGATTCCACTTTCACTCTGGGTCTCGACCTGCTTGGAAATATCGGAGCTGGATCCGCTACCTTCCTCGCACGTGGTACTTAGAGAAAATTCAGTCTCTAAACTAGGATGATGATCAGGAACTGAAATAAGAGCTGACATCGGTGTTTTCCCAGTATCATTTGGAAAAATATGGGAAGAGGTATAAAAGTGCAGAAATGTATCATGCATATTTCTGAATTAGCACAGATGCTTGTTCTGAGGAGGATTCTGGCGTGGGCCAAAAAAAAAAAAAAAAAAAAAAAGTTCGGGGTGTGTGTGTATGTGTGTGTGTCTCCTGAAGGTTAAAGGCAGGATATTTGGAGTTTGGCTCCTTCTCTGTGGGCAGATATTAAATTAGTCCTCGTGCCCCGAGTGCATGTTGGCAGAGAGGAGCCGGGGCCTTCAGGAAGACACCTGCAGCTCTGAAGGCTACTCGAGGGTGAGGCTGAGTCTGAGTTATTGTTCCGGGCCTTGGGAATGGGGCATGAATGGCCTGTTGGGAGGATTTGGGGTGACAACATGGGGAGAATAGCAAGCTTCCCTGGCACCCGGGACCACCGTAGGCAGTGCACGCAGCAGTGTCAGAGTGGGGTGGGAGCTGCATGGACCCACAGACACCCACTCAGTGGAAGGGTGCACATTGACCTCTGTGCTTTCATTTCAATTTCTCCCTTCCCTGTTTGAGCCAGGGCCCCACTTAGATTCTGCTCTGTGATGAGGGAAGGGGCGGAGCCCACACATCATATCTGGAGAGCAGTGTGAGACATGAGACGTGAAACCATGTTATAAATGCGAGTTACTGTCTCTTTCATTTTCATCCTGAATTCACTCAGTTCCTCCTGCGTAGCTTCCATCATTTTCATTCATTCACCTCCACAGGCCCTGGAGGTGGTAAGAAAACTGATGGTGACTGACTACAGAGAGCCTGTGGACAGCTGCCCTCATGACTCTCCTCCTTCCCTTTTGAACTGGGGTTTGGGAGTGCAGCGTGCCTAGGGGTCCTCAGACACATCAGAGCAAGTTTTTGTGCTCTCACTGTCACCATGAGCTGTGACTCCTGCCATCTGTGGTCAGGGAGGACCCTTCTGTCACATCACGAGCCACAGACGAAGTTTGAAGGAGGGAATCCGCCGTGCCAAGTATGTGGTCACTGTGAGGTCATGCTGTGGTCTGAAGGTAGAATCTGAAGCACAGGCAGCTGAAGGAATTGGAACCTGATGGTTCTCTCCGTCTTTGATTTCCAAGCAACCAAGGTCCTTTTACATCAACCTACTGTTGTTACTGAGAACTAACAAAAATTAGTATAGAGTGACAAAGCAGCCCCACTTCTAAATCCAGCACCGAATAGAATCATGCAGCTGTAGAAAAGGTTGCAGATAATTAAGGGTACCAGGAGATGGCTGTTGGTGTGCAATGTCGTAACCCATTTCGGGGGCCCTACATGTGGGAGAGGAGATGAAGTACTAAAATGCTGGACCACAATACTGAATAGAATTTCCTGACCACAGACCTCCTTCACTTTCTCCCCTTTCTATATACATGTCACATATTATATAGCAAAATCTTCACCTGTTGAATGGATTATTTTTCCTGCCTTCAACAGACCCTTGCATAAGCTATTACTTGCTTACAGCATGTGGCTACTGCTGAATCTGTTCTTTATCCACTGAGAAGCTGATATAAAACTCTTAACTAGAACTGGTGAAGGGAAATGACTGTCTGGGGCCTATCTCGGTCCTTGCTATAAGGAACTTAGTTTCCCACCCAGCACAGTCTGTAGTAGCCTGGCACCTTCCCCTTCCATACCAATTGTTGGAAAACCAAAGTAGTCTTCAATGGCCCAGAAATCATATTTTCATCATTTTTTTCTCTAGCTTTGGGAATTCTGTGTTCATAGCTTGTGCTAGGTAGGAGAAGCACTTTCTTCAGATTATGCTCTGCAGTTGACTACACTCCACTTCTCAGGCAGCAGGATGCATAATGATAGGCCAAGCTAACTTTGGCAGTTGACTGGCATCATGTGAATACATTCTTCCCACAGGAGCTTTAAGACCCTGTTTCTACTCATTGTTTTGGGCTGAGACCCCTTTTTTCTGCATCACCTCCGGGCTTGCTACTGAATGGCATGTTGAGAGGTCAGCCCTCCTCCTCCTCATGCCCCACTCCTCACCACTCCCTTATCTCTAGCAGGAGCCCTGTAGCTTCAGAACCCCTCCCCACCAGCACCACCAAGAACTGTCATCCTCAAGCTTGTGGTCACTGAACAGTGGGAAAAGGCCACTCCATCACCTCTTCCCTTCCATCTGCCTTCCAGGAGAGGCTGAGACAAAACATTAGAAAACACATCCTCTCCAAGTGCAACAACTGCCTTTTGTTTCTAGCTACTGAAACATTCAGTATTCAAGGATGTCCTAGAAACTATATTTAGCAGAGAATGTGCTAGATGTGTATTCCTGAGGCCTCACCTGGTCTTAATGGCTTGATTCTCCATTTCATTTGCTTGGAGATTTCTGGAATGCCTCAGTGCAAGCTGGAAGTTCTGCCAGTCTGCTTTGATTTAGTGTCTCTTGTCCCCTGTGCTTCCTTCCTAGCCTTTACCTTGCTGCTCTGTTCTTCCCATGGGCCTCTGTTAACAGTCTACCTCTAACCCCTCAGACTGGGTTACTCCAAGCTGATATGCTGTCTGGTCTTGCCATGTGCAGGTTTGGGGTCCAGTTCCTTCATCCGACAGTGAGAGTGAGCGTGCAGCCTAACTTCAAGAACAATGGAGACGAAACTGCAAGTTCACACAAGTGGTCACACACTGAGCCCCAACTCAATTCCTGGCCCATCTTCACGGGGGTCCTGCAGGCTGCTTCTTAGCCTTCTCCAAGCCACCATCTCTCAAATGTCCACCCCCCTTCTTCCAGTGGAGGACCTTCAACAGGGTCCAAACAGCAGCATATACAGGGTCCAGGGCTCACTCCAACCTAAGGCCTGCCTGTCTACTCAGGATTTCCTGTTCCTTATCCCCAGTGGATATGAACAAACCCACTCCCTTAGGGAAACTGCACTCCACACACAGAATGTGTCCTTTGAGCTAAGAACATTAGCACTCATTAAATAGCATTTATTGGATTGTTCACATTCACATGTGAGTCAGCAAACCCTCTAGGTGGTGTAGAGTTGAATTTACCCTAATCCTTATTCTTTGTCTACTCATGGTCCTTTTCAGCATGACATTTAAAAAAAAGAAAAGAAAAAGAAGGCTGACAGAACTAAGGGTTTGTCCACAGGGATGTCAAGGATGGGACAGAGGAGAGAGAAATAGGAGTGAGGGTTGGGGCACTGGCTGCACCCTGGTTGGCAAGGAGGGTGGTGAAGGGCACTGCCTGGAAGCCTGCATGAATTGCGTGCCAGTGAGCTGAATACAGGGAACAGGTGAAACAGTTGGTGCTCCAGGTGATGGTGACTGTTCAGTGGAGACGCAGCAGCAGGTAGCTGTCATCCGTGCTGAGGCAGTAGAGTTCCAGGACTCCGTGACATGGTTGTGGGCATGACACAGGAAGGAGCCACCTCACATAGAGCCCCATTTTCGACTTTCCCTTTGTTTTCTCACTTGCCTCTGGGAGATAGACCAATTCTTTGTCTTGCCCCAGTAGTTCCTTCTCTCTTCTGATATTTTCCCTGCATGTTTCTTGCAGTTGAGCCAGGGGTGAACCGTGGTATTTTTATTTAGAATCCCAGAATTTTCTGTCTGAAATATTGAAATAGTAGACTCAAGTCTGGGTTGTTTACTATTACTATTACTTTTTTATTTTATGTCTCTAAAACTGGTCCTGTGAATGAAATAGGCATATAAAGTTATGTTTGTATTTCAGGGAATGAGCCTAGATCTTTCACATCTGTGTAACACACATTTCTAGTTTGATGTTCCATCTCTTTGGTCAATCCCGCCAACTTGATAAGCTTTTTTTTTTAAAAAAGATTTATTTTTTATGCATACAGAACTGGGGTACAGGCCAGAGGTGCAGGGGCTTTGAGAGGATTTACCAGAGACAGAGTGGGGAGCAGAACAGGCAGACTGATGAAGTACACTGCTGAAGAGAGCAGAGGGCGGGTCAGGAGAGGTCTGCCACACCTCCGGAGTGGGAATTGAACTCATGCTGAAGTGGCTGTGCTTTAACCCGCTGCGCCACCAGAGAGGGCCCAATAAGGCTTTTATTAGCCTCTCTCATTTCTTCCCCTTGAAGTCATTGTACTCAGAATCTAGAGCTTTTTGGTGAATCTTTTTTTAAGATTTATTTATTTATGCATAAAGAGCTGGGATACAGGCCAGAGATGCAGGGATGGTGAGAGGATTCATCTGGTGAATCTTTTAACACATAGTGCAGTTGTGGGCTTGAGCACTCTGGCCAGGATCCCTCTTACCTCAGCGAGTCTGCTGAGCGCCAGTCACTGGGCAAAGGCTTGTCTTTGTTTACACAGATCTTCTCATGCCTCTGCGGTCCATTATGTAGGGCAGCAAGCTGCTGTCTCGGCAGTGAACCCACTGGGCCTCCCGACACTGTGCCTAATTGTATTCCCTGTTCTCTGCTACCAGATGCAGTAAATTACATTTCCTCTCAGCTCCCCGACCTGCCAATCCTCTGTTCACGAGCAGTAGAGTCTTCACCTGGGCAGGACGGAACCAGCAGAGCAGCTGGTAAGTCCTGGGGAGCTGTTTGGTTTGGATGCCCAGATGGGCTGTGAGGCTTCCGTTTCTCTGAGCCTTATTAATGATGCCCAGAGAGCCTTATGGAGTGGGGCCCTGTCGGAATAGAAGTTACAGAGGCCAAGCAGGGCAGACCCTAAGCCCTAAGGAATACATGAGGACCAAATGGGGGGACTTATTTAGAACATCTCTGCAGCTTCAGAGTCTCATGTGTCTCCTGTTTGTAGTCTTATTGTATCTGTCCTTATTCTCAACATTAATCTAAGCTCTGTCCCCAGGGAGTCTTATTTTCCATATGTGTGGAATTGTACAATATGAAGTGAACTCTAATGGAAGCTGGGTAGAAGCATTTTCAAAATATCTGAGTGTGTTGTTGGAATCCATTGGGAATGGAGCTGTTTATATTTTATGAACATTTATTTTCAAGTCTTCCCATTTCTGGAGTTATTTTTCTTAATGACTGTGGCATATTGGGGGCGGCGGAATAGCAATTTCAAGAACATGTTCTGGCTAATGTTTCTTACAATTATGAATGTTAGAGAATAATGCGTTCATGGCTGTCAAGTACATAGAGAACTGTGATTTGCTCTGTTCATTGTGAATTGTGACTCATGAAGCAGAACTAGAAGAATATGAACAATAAACCTGTGCCGTTTGCCCCATGCAGAATGCACTAAGGGCCAGGGAATAAGTGAACATGAAATGCCCACGGTGACGTAGTTAGTGACAATGTAGGTGAATTCAAACACAAACACCAGATTATGCTTTACAAAATCTAGGTAAGTTTATGGTTAAAAGAAATCACACAATGAGAATTTTTATAAACAACAAAATCATCATGAATGTTAAGCCAGAGGAAGTCTTTTCTAGAGGCCATCTAAAAACTTCATGAAACAGATACTCTTCATTTTATTATAAAAGCGAAATAGAATAGCAAGTATTGTTGTCCTGTGCACTGACTCCATTTTAATATCTCCCGTTTCTGTGAACTCCTTAGTGTATCCTTTTGACATACAGACTCACAGAGTTCTAGGGTTGGGTGGGACTGGAAGTGGTATGTGGTCAAAACATGACTGGGGCCACAGGACCCTGGGCAGTGACAAGATGGATAAAGCAGAACTTGCAGCCTGCTATTGTCAACAAAGGGATTATTGGCAGTGCTCTAACCTGCAGCCTCCTTTGCGTGCTCTGAGGCACCTTTCAGAGCTCAAATCAGGTAATAACTGTTGAAATCACACCTCCCGCTTGGTGTAGAGGTGCGGGTGGAGGAGGCCTTACCCTTTAAGCCTGCCCACCTGTGCCTATGCAAGCGTCTCTCCTCTTTCTTTCTTTCTTTCTTTCTTTCTTTCTTTCTTTCTTTCTTTCTTTCTTTCTTTCTTTCTTTCTTTCTTTCTTTCTTTCT